CTTTACAGGCAGTTTGGTCATGTGCCTAAACGTGTTCTTGTACGGCTGTTGAGAATCTCCAGGATGTCATCGGATTACATTGAAGCCGCCAAGAATTATCGATGTGAGCCGCGTGAACATTACAAGCCGTTAGCTCAGACTCACAAGGTTGTCTTGCCTAAGAAGTTCTGCTTTCATCCCGAAATCGGCATCAACTGTCTAGAGGTAAAGGACAACAGTGGATAATGTTACACTTTTTCAAACGGGGAGTGCCAGGGTGCAGCATTCCAGCGCGTGGTCTTTGTCAGACAGGGAGGTGGCGCGCCATCTTCGAGGGCATGTCTCACTGCACTTCAGCAAGACTGGTGGTCGTGGGCAGGTGGGCCCAGGGTGGCGTTGGACCGTGGGCTGCGCAACAGAGGAGTGTTTCTGCAATGGTTTAAGATTCGTGGGATCGATCTCCGCGACGCCGGAGTCGAATCTCCCGCGCAGATAGGCCGCGCCGAGAGACGCGGTGGAGTCTTGAAGAGTCTATTCAAGAAGTGGTGCACGGCAAAGACGTTGCCGGTCTCGATGAAGTCATCTCTGCCGCGTCGGAAGTCGACAACGCGAAGAATGAGATGTCACCAGTCGGTGGATTTGCGCCTGCTCAGTGGGTACTCGGGAAGATGCTTCTTGTCCCAGGGATTCAATCGACGACGAGGGAGCCTTCGACTTAGGAGTGCTTGCGAATGTTGTAGAGGACGGAGCCGACGAGTTCTCTCGCCAGGCTGCGATCGGGGCGTCTGCCAGAAAAGCAGTCGCAGAACGCGACGTCGGGAGTGGGGCGGCAAGAGCCGCTCTCCGAAAGGCAGCGCCACTAGTTGGTGAGTGCCAGGTAGGTGATGTAGTACGTTTTCGTCAAAAAAGCCGACTGACGGCGAGGTTGCCGCTAAGTGGAGAACTGGTTCTCGCATCGTTGGATTCGATGGTAAAAAACGCATGGGTTATCACAGAGGATGTTCAAGTCTGCGAGGCGATCGACAGGCTACGACCGCGTACAGCGGCGGAAGCATTGGCTTACCAACATCTCTCTAAGCATCATGATGGTGGTGTTGAGGTGTGCAGCTCCAGTCGGGCAACGGCAATCGTTCGTGGACGAGCGCCGCGATCTGCCATAATCACGAGTGCAGGAGTACCCTGCAGAAGAGCCTCCTCCTGTGGTAACGGACGGGCTGCCGGGGATCCCCGAAGACCCCGAGGTAATAGAGGAAGCAATTCGCCAAATGGAAGAAGATGAACTGGAAGACGGAATGTTCGTTCCGCGCCGCCCGCGTCGAGATCGTCACAGGTGACTCGAACGCCTCTCCAGAGGTCGTTACTAGACGACGCCCCGCACGGTATGCAGAGTCGTGACGAGGTGATGCGCCGCAGAGTCGAGAATGCCGATGGTAGTACGGGTAGGGTTTCTGATTCTGTCTCGGCACCAGCTTCCGAACCAGCGAACCCGCTATTCGAGGCCACGCGCAGAGCCGGAATATCAGGGCCGGGCATGGATCTCTTAGCAAGTAGAGAAGCTACACTAGCAGTTCAGTCACATGAATCGCTTGTCGGATTCCTTAATGAACGCGCCGTAAACAAGCTCCCTTCCAAGAAGAAGCTCAAGCGTGCAAAGAATCTGGTGTGCCATCGAGAATCTGAGGTCGTTGAAAGTTGTTTAAGACTCGCAAGGCAAGGCGAATTGGGAAACTTGCGGAAGTTCAACGCCGCCGTGCCTATTGATCCCGTGGAACTGCAAAGTCTTCCTGACGAAGGATATCGCATGGTGCTGACACAATGGATTGAAATTGATGAGCCTGAGCATCTCCGTAGACTGGGTGAGTTCCAGTTGCGCCGCAGTACAAGAGCAGACTTGTCGTGCGTGGAGATCTGGGAGAGTCGTTGGGTACCCGCACGGTTTCACCAATATGCGAACGCGAAAAGGCAAGGTTGATAGTGTCGTGGGCTGCCGGTGCAAAGACGGTTTTCAAATGTGCCGATGCTGCAACTGCGTGTTTCCAGGGGCAAGAACTGGAGCGTCTCATGCTGCCCGAGCCACTTTCCGACGGACTCGAAGGAGCACCGGATGGTGGAGCACTGATCGCGCGCATGCCCGTCTTCGGCACGCGCGGCGCAGGGCGAGGTTAGTGGGGGAAAATTCGCAGCAGGTTTAGAGCGTATGGTCTGATGGAGAATCGTATCATGCCTGCTTTGTTCAGTATCCACAATGACAATAACGAGACCACGTGTATGTTGGGCACGCATGTGGATGGCATATTGTGGGCCGCAGATGACGGAAGTCAGAAGATCGTCGCTTCGGTGTTAGCGGAGTTTGATATTTGCGAGATCAAGTCGGACACTTTCCGTTATTCGAGTTGAGATGTTGTTCAAGATGAACATTTCACGGTTGCTATCTCGGCCGCGGACAATATTGAGAACATCGAGGCTGTATCCTATCTTTGGGGCAGCCTCCTTACGAGGAGCTGTAATGAGGGCGAAATAACACAGCTTACATCGGTCGCAGGTGCTTGGTCATTTCTCACGCGCGCGTGTAGACCTGAGCTATTGTACCGTGTGAGCGGACTGCAGACTGCAGTGTGCCTTGCTGAGGTATTTCATCTCTTGGAAGCCATCCGCGCATTGGGGGGGGCAGCCCAATCCGCTGATTGCGGGTTAGTGTTCAAAGGTGGAGCTGTTCAGTGGAATCATGATATGATAGTTCTCATTGTTACTGATGCCAGCTGGGCAGGTGAAGACGATGTAGTCCAGGGCAGGATTGAGCCTCTCAGATCACAGAGGGCTAGGTTCAATGGACTCGCTGGGCCTGGGTTCGTCGAGGGGAGCAGCGACAATGTTCGCCCTATATGTATATCTAGTATGGTTATCAAGCGAGTGTAAAGCTACACTACAAGCAGAGACCCTGGCTTGTTAATGGGGTGTAGAATCTGGTGTGCGCATTCGTGCCGCCATCGCAGATGCGCGTGGTGTGCTTGGCATCTCATGGCACTCACTATGGGTAAGACAAAAGATAAGCGCTCGAGTATCGAATTGTACAGTTTAAGGCAGTATATTTTGACGAACGGAACGGAATAAGTATATATCTTGCATCATTGCACGTTTTGTGATAAGATCCGGTGGATTGACGCAAGTGTTATGGCTGTTCATTCTCTTACGAAGAGTATGCCATCATTTTTTGTTAAGATCTCACGTGCAAGTTCGTATGATGTGACTCTAGACCCGGAATCTACCTTGGAGAAGGCCAAACAGCAATTAGCGAGGGCCAGAATGAACAATATCCCAGCGGGGAAGTAAGTGAACTGACGCCCTGAATGATTTTACTTGAGTGATCCCAACCTTGGGATACTCCTGTCACTGCCCTTAGAGGTTTACGGAGACCAGCGGTACTTCGCGGTCTGCCGGCTAGCTCGTGGCAAAGTTTCACGTGTGTGAGATAGTGCATGTGTCACGTGTGTATATGCGCCACTTGCTGCCTTTTGACCTCCAGGGCCCCTTTTTGCCATTGTGCTAAAACGCATCATAAACACAATGCTGATGATGCTGATGCTGATGCTGCTGATGGTGGTGACGATGCTGGTGCTGGTGATGATGATGCGGATGCTCATGCTGGTGATGATGCTGATGCTGATTATGACAAGGGTGTTGGTGATGATGCTAGTTTTGATGATGGCGATGATGATGCTGACGATGATGACAATGCCAATAATGATGGTGATGAGGCTGCGGAGGATGATACGGATGCTGCTGAATATGATGGTGATGAAGTTGAGGATGATGCTGCTGCTGCTCATGATGATGATGCTGGTGGTGCTGGCGATGATGATGGTAATGCTGATGATGCCGATGATGTTGCTGACGATGCTGATGACGATGCTGATGCTGTTGCTGATGGTGATTCTGGTGCTGCTGAGGATGATGCTGATGCTGATGTTTCTAATGTTTCTTAGGATCTCGGTCATGATGAATATGCTGCTGGTGCTGATGTGGATGCTGACCATGACGATGTTCATGCTGATGCTGCTGATGATGATGATGCTGCTGATGCTGGCAATGCTGATTCTGGTGACGGTGATACTGAAACAGATGCTGATGATGCTGATGCCGACGCTGCTGATTGTGATGACGATGCTGCTGATCATGCTGCTGCTGATGTGGGTGACGCTGCTGCTGATGATGATGATGCTGGTGGTGGTGTTGCTGTTGATGATGATTATGGCTCTGGTGCTGATGACGATGATGATGTTTTGTTCTTCTTACTCTTCGAATGTTTATTATGATGTCGATTGTGATGATGATGGCGGTGCTGCTGATGATGAGCATGATGATGCTGATGGTGCTGATGATAATGGTTACGTGATGATGATGATGCTGCCGCTTGTGATCATGATGACGCCGGCGATGCTGGTGTCGTTGATGATGTTGGCGATGATTGTTGCGATGATGAGGATGTCTATGAGGATGATGATGGTGATGGTACTGCTGACAATGATTTGGCCGATGCTGATGCTGATGATGACCCTGCTGCTGCTGAAGATGATGATGCTGATGATGATGCTTTTGCTGCTGATCATGATGATGCTGATTTTGATGCTGGTGATGATGGTGATGAGGATGAATATGATGATGATGCCGATGCTGCTGTTTACGATGATGGTGATGCTGATGCGGCTGATGATGATGGAGATCCTGATGCCGGTGATCATGATGGTGCTTTTGATGACGCTGCTGGAGATGGTGATGCTGATGATTATGTTGATACTTATGAGGCCGATGATGATAGCGATGATGTTGAGGATGGGGGTCATGCTGACTATGTTTGTGCCCCACGGAAATGACCTGACCCCGTCATCCGTTTTCCGCTCTGCAGTCTTTTTGGTTCAAGTCAGAACCATATGGAAGCTTTCCTCTTCGGCTTCTCCGCACTCCGAGCGTTTGCCTTCCTACGTGCACTCTTGTGGCCCGCGCCAGTCGAGTGCACCTGCGAGGTGCCTGAGGCTCTGCTTGCCGCCGAGCCTGTCAGCGGAGAGTGCCGTCTCCTGGCGGAGCTGGTCGGGCGCTCGAACCAGTGCGTCTGCCAGTGCGACTGTCGCTGCCACTCGGAGGCCGCCTCGGGGATCGGACTCACGGCCTTGCTCGGGCTGCTGGCGTTCTTCTCGGTCATCGCCTTCTCGCTTGGCCTGCTGATCGGCTGCAGCTTCGGACGCCGCAGCTTGAGCACGCCGCCGGTTGTGAGCGACACGCTCGTGTCCATCATCGAGGAAGATGGCGACGCTAGCATGGCTCCAGGGGTCGGCCAAGCCGGGCGATCGGGTCCTCGTCTGCTACTATCAGGACGCGGGCGGGGCAGCGGTGGAATGGCATGAGCGGATCTTGCTAGGCCACATCAGCGACGCGAAGTGGGTCGTCGTCTCGCGGGACTGGGACATATTCGAGGAGGACTTTGCTGAGGCCGACGACCTGAAGCGGTTCCTGGCCAACGGGCAGGCGCCCGCGACGGTGCGCGTGCTTCCTCACTACCTGGTCGACCACTACCGGTTCGGCCAGGACAGACAGTACTACATGGACACGGGAGAGGCTCTCGCGCGGGGCCTGCGTCCTGGCGGGGCTGTGGTCCCTGCGGCTGTGCCGATCGCGGCGGGCGCGGGTGCCGGGCCCGCCGCGAAGTGGTGCGCGCTGGAGGCTCGGGGCAGTGTGGGACTTGGTGATGCCCTCACCGCCTCGCTGGGGTCCGTCGAGTTCGAGTCTAACGATCGGTGTATCTTCAAGCTGACGGACGGCGCAGTTCTGAGCGGATGGCTCGAGGGCACGCTGCCATCGGGCCCCGCTGCAGGGAGCGGAGACGACTCCCGCATCCTGCCTGCCAGGCAGGACGCACAGCAGCGCTATCGCCGCTCCTTCGCGAGCGCGCTGCTGGACATGAAGCCCGCTGACTTCGGCAAGAGCTGGGAGATCGAGGGTCCGCGCTCGACGTACTACACGGCGGAGCGGATCTACGAGGGCAACCACAGCCCGGTGCAACGGCACTACTGGTGGCGCTCGGTGATGGGGCTGTCGGCGACGGACGTCGGCGTGGACGAACACTTGCTGTTGTCCCAGCTCCTAGAGGTCGGCATGACGATCGATCAGATGCAGGTCTGCAACTTGGCGACGTTCGAGCTCCTGAGCCGGCGTTATAAGATGTGGGAGAGCGCCTGCAAGGATCTGCTGCGAGAGGTGGACACGGGCGGCTCGGGCGGCGACGACTGGCTGAGCGAGCGCTCGCTGTTCCTCGGCGTGAAGAATCTGAGGAGCAGCGCCATCGTCATGCCTGAGCTGGAGGACTACGTGGCGAAGGAGCTGGCGGCCCGCGCCGCCGTGCTGAAGGAGCGCCGCAAGGCGCGTGAGGAGGCCGCGCTGGCCAAAGGAGAAGGTACGGGACCGACGTCGGCTGATCCAAAGAAGAAGCCCAAAGGTCCCAAGGAGAAGGCCTGAGGGCCTGCTTCCATCTGATTTGTGCCGCCACGGGGGGGTCTGCCCCGCCTCCCCGAGGGCTTTCGTGAGGGGTTCAGGGCTGGCAGGTGGTGCCACCCTGAGGCGCTTTCAGCTTCGCAGCAGATGAGGCAGCGCGACGTTCTGCCGATCTCCCTGGCGGCCGCCTCGGAGATCTGCGCTGGGGGTGCCAGCGGGCTGGGCCTGTCTCAGAGCCAGCGGCGGCGGCTTCGACGTCGACGTGCTCAGGAGGGCTGGCTGTTCGAGGGCATCCGCGCCTTGAACGAGCTGGGCGCCCCGGAGCCGCTGGCGGCCTCGCCCTCGTCCTTGACTTCAGCTCAGGTCTCGGCCGTTCGACACCATGCTCGGCAGTGCGGATCAGTCGTCGCTCCCCCGCCTGACTGCGGGGGCGCCCTGGGAGCGTGGGAGGCGCTCCAGGGTACGCGGCCCGGCTACGCGGATGACGCGATGGCCGTCGGTGCTCGGGCGAACTTCGAGCGAGGGAACGTGTCGCTTCCCGCGGGGCTCTCTGGGCGAGTTGCGCTGAGTGAGTGCCTGCCGCCCGCCCTGCAGTCTGCGCTTGAAGATCGGTCAATCTTACTTTCTGAGGAGGAGGCTGCCGCTCGCCGTGACAGCTTTTATGGCAGCCTCTTCCTTGATCCCGTCCTTCGGGATAACCCCAAACTTTTTGGAGAGTTCGTTTCTGAGCTCTGGGCCGCTGGCGTTGTGGAAGTCAGCGATGACGTACTCGAAGAAAGTGGTTTGTTTTTTGTTCGAAAAAAGTCAGGTGCTCTTCGCCTGATCTGGGACACTCGTGTGCCTAACCTTCGGTTCCGCGAGCCTCCTGGTGTGGTTTTGCCCTCTGGTGAGGCTCTCGCTCATCTCGAATGCGAGCCTCATGTGATCCCCGTGCTGCACGGGGGCGATGTCGAAGTCTGCTATTACCAGTTCGCACTTCCTGAACAGTACAGGTGTTTTTTCGGCCTGCCCTCCCTGCCTATTGCGCACCTGTCCCCGGACCTCGTCGCCGCGCTCCCGGATGCGGCTCGTAATCGGGGCTGGGCCCGCGTGCGGGCTCGTGTGGTGCCGATGGGTTGGAATTGGGCCGTGGCTCTTGTACAGGCCGCCAACCAGTATCTGCTCAATAAAGTTTTCCCCGAGGCCCCGTGGCTCCTTGATAAGGTCCCGCTCCCGCCTCTTGGCGACGTTGGGTCGCTTCGCGGACTTTATATCGACAACTTCGTTTCCATTGCCCAGTCTAAGTCGGTTGCAACCTCGGACGTCGAGAGTATGCAGTCTCAGCTCGCGGGCCTTGGGATCGCGTCGACCTTGGAGACCTCGGAGGCGGGGGACAACGACTTCATAGGTTTTACTCTGGTGGGCTCGTCTGGGGAGTGGCGTCCTAAAGCTAATCGGTTCTGGAGGTTGAAACTGGCTGCCGACTATCTTCTAGAGGTTCGACCTGCTATCACAGGGCAGGAGCTGGAGCGTTTCGCGGGCCACGTCACGGCTCTGTTTTCGCTTTCCCCGGAGCTCTTGTGCCTCATGGAAAAGGTCTATGTGTTCATCCACGAGAGTTACACTCGCCGTCAGCCCCTCTGGCCATCTGTTCATCGCGAAGTTCGGTGGATACGTGCTCTTCTGCCCCTGGCTCGTGCCTCGATGCGTCGCCCGTGGTCGAGTCGAGTCTTCGGCTACGACGCGTCGTGCTGGGGATTTGGAGTTGGATCGACGCGCTGGGAGACTAGTGAGGTCGCCGCTGTGGGCCGTGTTCGTGAGCGAGCACGCTTTCGGGGTCTTCTCAGTAGCTCAGAGGCGCCGCGGTCCCGGGCTCTGGACCACCAGGAGGAGCTGGAGATCTCGGAGGCTTCGGAGGCCAACATCCTGGGGCTCGGGCGGGCCCGCTCGTTCGCTGAGGTCCCGGCGGCCCTGGTCGAGCGGAGCTGGACTGTGGCCTACGCGGGCCGCTGGAGGGGTGTCCCGGGGTCCCAGGTCCATCTCGAGGCCCGGGCCAGGACCTGGACGGTGCGACATTTTGCTCGTGATTGTAGCCTTCATAACACCCGTGTGCTGCTTCTGGGCGATAACATGTCGGTGATTTGTGCTCACGCGAAGGGCAGGTCGTCGACGCCGGCCATGAACTTTCAGTGCCGGCTCTCGTCTGCTCTAGCTCTCGCCGTCGGGCTCCAGCTTCACGACCGATGGGTCCCCTCGGAGCTCAACGCCCTGGGCGCTGCGAGCCGAGTTCATCAGCCTCGGCATGGGGGCCAAGCGAAAGTGGCAGTCCATGTCCAGCACCGCCTGCCTGCCTCCAGCGCAGTTGCAGCTTGCGGCCCTGTCCGACTCCGACGACGTGGGCGATGCGGGCCCGGGCTGCTCCAGCAGCCATTCTGTCGGCGCGCTGACGGGCCGCGGCCGCGGGAACAGCGGTCGCGCTGGGCCGAGCGCCCCTGGGGCTTGCCTGCCCATCCGTCCTGGTGGCGCACGGCGGGTTGCCCGCTCAACCCCCTCTGGCCCTGGGGGCCGCCGGGGCTCGGGCCGCCTGGAGCGCCTCCGGGCGGCGACGCGGGCGCGGCTGCTGCTGCTGGCCCCGCTGCTGACCGGCCTCCAGCAGGAGCGGATCCGCCCGGCGACGCAGGCGGGCTACTGCGACGTGCTGGAGCAGCTGGCTGGCTACCTGAATCAGTGGCCGCTGCCCGCTTGGTCGGGCCCGCAGTGGGGCCTCCAGCTCCTCAACTTCGTGGAGTGGGCGCGGGGCGAGGGGTGGTCGCGGGCGCTGGCCTCTCGGCTGCTGGCCGCCGTGGTGTGGGCCCAGCCTACGTTGGGCGGCCCGCTGCGCCAGGTCTTCCCCAACGCGCATGCGGCCATGCTGGGCTGGCGCCAGCTGGACCCGGGGCACAGCCGCCCGCCACTGCCCTGGGGTGTCGTGCTGGCCTTGGCGTGGGCGATGCTGCCCGAGTGCCCGGTGGGCGCCCTGGCCATCATCGTCATGTTCGAGACCTACATGCGCCCCTCGGAGCTCCTCAGCCTGACGGTGGGGCAGCTGGTGCCGCCCACGACGTCGCGCGGCCAGGGCGCGTTCTGGGGCTTCTGCGTTCGCGTGGAAGAGCTGGGGCGGCCGTCCAAGACCCAGGAGTTCGACCTGAGCGTGCTCCTCGACTTGGACCGCCACCGCCCGCTCATCCCGCTGCTGCAGGCGCTGAAGGCGGGGCGCGCCCGCGGGGAGCGCCTCTTCGACGTCAGCTCGAGGCAGTTGTACCGGTCCTTCGCGCTGGCCGTGCAGCAGGTGCAGGTCTCTTGCGTCGAGCCGAGCCTCTACGCGCTGCGGCACGGGGGCGCCAGCCACGATCGTCTCGTTCGAGCGCGGTCGCTTCTCGAAGTGCAGCAGAGGGGGCACTGGCGCAGCTTTCGGAGCGTCGCTCGCTACGACAAGCACGCGCGGGTGTCCTTGCAGCTCGGCAAGCTCCCCGCGACGGTGAGGGGTCAGATCGCGTCGCTGGTGGACCGCGGCCTCACGCCCTTCGTCGAGCGCTGCGCCAAGCTCTTGCACAGCCGCAGCCCCTCGGCCCCAGGATCTTTCTAGACCTGTTCTCGGGGGCAGGAGGGCTGGCGGCTGCTTTTGCGGACCGGAATATCGCCGTCGTTTGCATCGATATCTGCCACGGGCCGTCCCACGACCTCCTGAATGATAATGCGTTCAACACCCTTCTTGGATGGATTCGATCGGGGCTGGTCGTGGGAATGTGGTCAGGTACCCCATGTCAATCGTTCACGATGGCCCGACGGGCGCCACAGTGGTCGCGACTCCCTCATAGGCTGCGCAGTCCTGAATACCCTGCAGGTCTTCCCAATCTGGATGTGCGTGATCAGCGGGCAGTTGCCGAAGGTAGCGTGCTGGCTCATCGGTCCGGCGTGCTGCTAGAGGCGTGTATCCAGCGAGGCCTGCCGCGTGGGGAGGAGAACCCCTCCCAGAGCTACTTGTGGCTTGGCCACCGTCGGCCGGCCATGATGAGACGTCCCGAGTGCACGACATATATTGTTGATTACTGCGCGTTCGGCACGCCTTGGAGAGCTCGTACTCGTCTCAACCTGTTCAACGTTAAGTGTTCGGCTCTGGAAGGTGCAAAATGTAAGGGCCGTGGCATTTGCAGCTTTTCGGGAAAACCACATTATCAGTTGGACGGGCCCACGGGACAATGGGGGATTCTTGACACGCCAGAAGCAGGTTTACCCCGAGAAGCTGTGCCTCGTGCTAGCCAAGGCTATCGCCTCGTCCCTCAGCCTCTTGCGTGTGCACGAACTGTGGCCTGCCTTCTCTTCTCTTCCTCCCTCCCTGTCCTTCCCCTTCTAATCCTGGGGCCTCGGGGGGTTTTCCTGCTGCAATACCTAACTTATAATATTTCGTCGAATAAATTCGCCACTCCAGTGCTGTATGCGGGGGTTCTGTATATGGGCAGAATTGGTTTGAAGATGCTCACCTGTTCACCGCAAGCAGTGGTCTGGAAAGAGAGTAGTCAGGGTCATGTTTGTGCCCCACGGAAATGACCTGACCTCGTCATCCGTTTTCCGCTCTGCAGTCTTTTTGGTTCACCCAGAACCCGCCCACCCCCAAAAAGCTGGGGCAGAATTGGTTTGAAGATGCTCACCTGTTCACCGCAAGCAGTGGTCTGGAAAGAGAGTAGTCAGGGTCATGATTATGATGCTGCTGGTTCTGGTAATGCTGGTGATGATGATGCGGTTGGTTCCGATGATGATGACCATGATGACGACGACGATCTTGATGATGGTGATTATGATGATGATGGTGATGGTGATGCGGCTGATGATGATGATGACGGCGATGGTGATGGTGTTGGTGATGGTGATGATGCTAGCTTTGCTGATGATGATGGTGGTGCTGTTGATGATGATGATGATGGCGATTGTAATGATGGTGATGATACTGCTGCTGACGATCATGATGCTCATGATGATGGTGCTGATGATGATGATCGTGATGCAGAAGATCTTTTCTACAGAAGTGTAATGCCAGACGAGGGGGGGGGGGAGAGAGGCCGTCTACTTGCATTGCTTACATAGCCTTCGGCTATCGAGCTAGAGTCGGGGCGCGGCCGCGGTGCGTGGCCTAATTCGACCTTCCGGGGAACGTTCTGAACCTGGTGGGCCGCTGGGGCGTGCCCGCGCTGCAGGCCTGGGTCTCGCGCTCCCCTGCCACCCGCGTGCCGCCCTGCCCCGCGTAGCCGGCCTGCCCGCGGTGCTCTGGGGCGACAGTCGGGGCGACCGCAGGGGCCGTGTCGGTCGCTTGCGCGGTCGCGGCGCTGGCTGGGGCATTCATCGGCTCCCTGGCCGCCCTGGCACTGGCGCTGCTGCGCATGCGTGGTCCGCTCCGCTGCGCCTCCGTCACGAAACCCTCGCCCGTCGTCGCCTCCATCGAAGCGCCGTCCGCCCGAGAGGCCCGTGCTGCCCATCTCGTGGACGGTGTTCATGGCGGAAGCTTGGGCGTGGGGTTTGTGCAGCGTGGGCGGCGTGCCGCTCTTCCACCGTATGGGGGTTGCGGGTCAATTGGCACTCGCGGGCGATGTGATCATTGTCACCCCAGACGACACTGTGCACGCGGAGAGGCTGCTGGCGGCGGGGCCTGACATCGCGGCGGCGATGTTCTCGGCGGCGCGGTGGCCCCCACCCCGGGGGCCGCGGCGGAGTCGACCTGCCGCTTCAACCGCGCGCCGTCGGCAGCCCGCGAGGCCGCTTGGTTGGCGGCCGCCGCGGCCGACGCGGGCTCTGAGTTCGCCCGGTGCCACCCTGGCGCGCCCCCCCCGCCTGGGACATGTTGGCGCCGATGGCGGGCGGGCTTTTACTTGCGGGGAGGCTCCCGCGGGCTGGGGCTGGGTGCTCGCTGAGGACGTGGGCTCCTTCGCTGTCGGTTCCGCGGTGCAGGTCGGGCCGGTCCGGGGCGTCCTACTGGCATCGCGCGCGGGGCGTCGGGCAGTGCTGGTCTTCGGCGGCGGGGTCTCGGCTATGGCCTGCCTCCGCGAGGACTGGCGTCGGGCGGACTCCATCCAGCGCTGGCGCGGCTCGGACTCTCGGATCCTCGCGCGTCAGCCTGGCGCAGTCGGCCCACCGAGCTGGCTGTCGTTCACGGAGGCTGCCAATGGAGTTCCCGACCCCAAGTTCTCGCTCGTGCCGCGGTCTGCTGCCTGGCGTGTGAGCTGTCTCTTGCAGGTGGGGGGGCCGGCGCGGCATCGCGAGAGTTGGAAGGCGCGAGAGCGGCCCGCCATCTCCGACTACGGCGTCGCCGAGCATCGCGCCCTCAGCGCCGCGTTGGAGGACCTCGCCACGGTGGGCGAGGCCAATGTGTCCAACCGTATCGGAGTCGAGCGTTTGCTGAGGAAGATGCAGCTTATCGAGCATTTCTGGGATGAGAAGCAGCGGGGGCAGGATTCGAGTCAGCAGAGGTTGCCTCAGGAGGAGATCGCCGCCTACATGGGGGAACAGGGCCCGCCGGCCGCCCGAGCAGCATGGCCCGCCCCGCCTTTTTGGACGTGGTCGGCAGGGAGCTCGAGCGCGTGAGTCAGCCCACGAAGAACGCCCGCAAGCTGCGGGGGGGGGTCGAAGGGCCGCCTCTGGGGCGACTGCCGGAGGCGCGAAGTCATGATGATCAGTGGCCCGGGGGGGCCGTGCGGCCCGGCCGCTCTGGGGGGCGCGACATCTGGGCCCGCTTCGACGCTGCCCTGCGGCGGCGAGGATGTCGACCAATGGCGGGCGCAGCGTGGCTGGCGCGGAGCGGCGGCGGGGCGTCTTTTTGCTGCCCGTGCCGGCCGCTGCTGGCCCCGGCCGGCTGGCAGGAGGCGGGTGCTTTCGCGGCGTGCGGGGCGCGTGCGTCGGGCGGCCTCGTTGCCGTGGCTCGTCGAGCAGTCGGTGGAGTCGCTCGGCGGTCTCAGCGGAGGCCTGGGCCGAGGCTGCGCCCTTCTCGTGGCCGACGCGGCCCGGCGGCAGTGCTTCGGGCCCCTTTGTCGGGTGACCTCGAGCCTTTGGCGGCCCTCCAGGAGCTCCAGGCCGCTCTGTTCTTCGACGGCTCGCTGTCGACCAGGGCAGCGGCGACTGGCGTTCCGCGGCTCTCGCTTCCACGCCCCGCGGCGCTGGGCTTGTTGCTGGGCGCCGAGGTTTGCGACCGCGTCTATCGCGATACGTCGTGGGAGGTCTTGCCGAAGGCAGAAGTTTAGCAGTTGCAACCGGATGGTGGCTTCGAGAGGCCTTGCGCGGTCCCGGCCCTGCGCGACCTCGGGCGGTTCGCGGCCATGTCGGCGCGACTGCTGGGCGCCGGGGCCATCGACTTCGCCCGCGACCCGTCGGGCGTGGCGGGCGAGGTCGGCCTCTTCAGCGCGCCCAAGGAGAACGGCGAGCAGCGGCTCGCCGTGAACGCTCGGCCCGTCGACCTGGTTCGACTCGCCGGCGGACGTCCGCCTCGCCCCGGGCGCGGCGCTGGCGGCGGTGGAGCTGCCCGCGGGCGCCAACATGTGGGCGGCCTCCGCCGACGTCGCCGACGTCTCCTACAATGCGGAGCTCCCCCTGGTCTGGCGGCCGCGCTTCGCCCTCCCGCCCGCCGACGCTTGGCGGCTGGGGCGGGCTGTTGGCGCGGGGGCTAGGCGGCCTCGGTAGGCGTGGCCGCAGTTCGCGGTGCTGGCGGGGTCAGCCGCGGACCGCGCAGGGCTGCCGACGGCCGCGGGGCTCGCGGATCGGCGGGCCTGCGCGGGCCTGGGGCCTGGGCGCCACTTCGATATCGCCGACAACTTCGCCGCGCTCTCGCTGGGCCCCGCTGTCGCCGACCATATGTCGGGCGCCGTGGTGGCGGAGCTGCGAGCGAGCGGGCTGCCCGTTCACGAGGAGGAGCCGACCGCGCTCCACGCGCAGCTGCCGGGCTGGGCGCTCGAGGGACGTCCCGGGGCCGTCTCCCCAGCTCCGCCGCGGGCCTGGCGCCTCGCCCTGGCCTTGTGGGCCGTGTTCGCCATGCCGCAGGTGTCGGCTCAGCAACTGAGGCAGGTCGTCGGTGTCTGCGCGTTCCTCCTCAAGGTGGGGCGGTCGCTCCTGTCGGCCCTCTCCGCCACGTGTCGCTTCGTCTCCGTGGTGGCCCAGCGCGCGGCGTGAGCTGGCGTGGGCCGCGGGCCTGGTGCTGCTGGCGCACGCTGGCCTCCGCGCCGAGTGGCCAGGCCAAGTCGCGCGCGGGGGCGCCCCCGAGTGGGGCCGAGGAGTCTGCGCGCGTCTTCTTGGCGCAGATTCTAGGGGCCTCTCGTGAGCACCAGCCTCAGCGGCGCGTCGCCCTCGGAACCCCTGGGCACTCCGAGCCAGTCTGAGCCGTCGTCGAAACGGCCGAGCCCTTCGGAAGTGGTGGGCTGCATTGTGATTTCAAGCGGCGCCGTTACCTCGAGGTCGGAAGCCTTGGGCATCGACAACTCGATTAGTCGGGTCCCCTCGCGGCCTCGCAAGAGGCCCGATCAGACCGGTGCCTTCAGGTCCTTGAATGTGGAGGTCGTCCTGGGGGAGTGGGCCGCCGTGCTCAGCGGGGCCCGGGGGC